GGAAACGTTGCAGGTAGATCTGCACACCAATGAGGAATTGATTGCATGCTATAAGGATGTTCCATTCACCACATCAGCAGGCGTTTGCAAGGTTTCATCCATTGGAAATGGATCAATCAGGTAAACAATCATGAAGGCTTGGATTCTTGGACTTTCAGAACAAAACATTAGAGAATGTCAAGAACAGCCAGATGGAGCTCTTCCAACAGTCTGGCTTACAAATTTTTGACCTTTCTATGTTTGCCATTAGATAAGTTAATTGCAACTTCTACATTTATAGATTCAGAAACAGATCAACACGATATAGATGTGCGTGGGATTATCATTTTCGTATGTATCCTTCTTTTTTAAAAAAATCTTGTTTAATAATACACTATCTCCACTTACTTTTTTGAACTTAGAAATTTGAATTGATTATTGAGTAATTTAACTCTCTGGTCTTTCAATCTAGTGCGTTTGAAATTTTTGTTGTATGCGTTAGCTGCCTTTTAAATTAGTTTAGAATAAACACATTTTAGTTCTATGAAGACTACTCGTGTTTTTGGCCACCAGTGGAAACTCTGATTGTTTTGATTTTACAAAATAATGAAATAAAATGATGGACGATAATATTTTGGAAATTCCAGAGCAAGAAATGAGCAATGGTTCTCGCTTATAGGCGCTTATTGCTCTCGACCATTGGATCTCATTGAAGTACCAGATTGTGCCACGTGGACCAGCTGCTCAAAATCATATTTGAGAACCTGGGGATTTGACGACTAAATTTCAAATAATTAAGTCATCCAGTCCACACGTACGTTCAAGTGTGGAAAATTAATTCATATAGAATTACCAATGGGCATTACTAAATGTATGGTTATGCAATGCTAATAAATAATTAATTCATATGTTTATACATTACTAATAAGTAATACATTACCAAACAATGTTTTTTAAAGACAGTTATTCTGTTTGTTATTAACCGTTCCCATGCAAATTTTCCCCCTTCATGTGTCTTTCTAAGATTGTTAATATTTTTCTCTAAACTAAACCAGCTCAAATTCATAATATGCTTGCTTGAAATTCTTCAGCAACAGCTAGGGTACATTTGTTTTACTTAATCATAAACTAAAAATGGGCCAAGCATGGGCAACTAGATCTATGATTCCTCATATATAATATATATATATACACACACACACTACAAATTTATGAGATTGGAATTCAGAAAACCCAGCTTTTGAATCTTCTTCTTGTTCCTTTTTGACAAGAATCTTGTAATTGTAGTGAAGTGTCTCTTCAACAATCAAGAAGTGAAGTGATGAGTAAAAACTTCACAATGTTGTTGCTAATTTCGTCATTAATTATCGCTGACCATGTTCTCGTGATGGCCAATGCAGATGCATTGGTGGCAGCAATATATGTGTTTGGTGATTCAGGGGTTGATGCTGGCAATAACAACTATATCAACACTCCAGCTAAGGCCAACAAATGGCCTTATGGTACTGATCTTTACAATAAACGAGGTCGTTTCACTAATAGTAAAAATGTGGCTGATTTTAGTGGCATGTTTGCTAAAACATTCATAACAAATTGTAATTTATTTGATTTTCATTGTGTTCCCTCCGTCTCAAGACATTTTTGGAGTTAATTTGGCATTCCAAAATATATCACGTCTTGGGGGAAAAATGTTTCATTTATGATTATTAGTTGCTAAAACATTCATAAAATACATTTGTAATTTATTTGATTTTCATTATATTCCCTCCGTTTTATTTTATAAAATATTTTTAATGTTGACTTAGCATTTCAAAATATATGACGTTTTGAAATAAAAAGTTTCTTTTATGATGATTATATTAATATTACTTCTCATATTTCACTCCTTAAATAAATTTTCTTCCCACTCTTTCTTATGAAGGATATTTTTAAAAATTTATAAAAAAAAATTGAGCCTCTTAGACATTGAAAGAAGCCAAATAACTACAGAAATCAATTATAGATCAGGCTCACGTGGAATCCTAAACACAACTAGCTAGAGCTGTAATTAAGAAATTATTTCTTTAAATTTTTCTTCTATAATTTTCATAAATTAATTTCCATTTCACTAAAATTTAATATGTTGATTTTTCTTTTTCATCATTTTGTGGTGAAGGGAGAATGTTTGTCACTTGGAAAACAAATTGATTATTTTACATGGATAGCGACTGTCAATGTGTCAAATTTTCTATAGATTCCACAAGAACTGAAACGTCACGTAGCCAAATCTATATATCTTCTTCTGATTGGATCAAATGATTATAAAGACCATCTGAATAACGGACTCAGGAAGAGATTCACTCTAAAGCATTTTGTATAATATCCAGTTAATGGAATCACAAACTATATTAAGGCTTGACCCCCCCCCCCTTCTCGCTTAATCATGTTGATTTCTATTGTACTATAAGGCGAGGGCTAATGAGTCAAGATGCTAAACTATTTCAAGCTTGGTTGTTTAATAAAACAGAGAACTAAATAAGTTGAAATAGATTACAAATTGGTTAAATTGATTACATATGAAATCCTTATAATTGTCTTGTATTGTAAAAGTTATTAGTATTTATTAAATTTTTAAAATTATTCAAAATGATTATTAACAAAATTTATGTGGTTGAAATTAATTTGTTATTAAAATACCTTTTTAAGATATTAAAAAATTGCAGATAAAATATATTTTTAATAAAAGAGGGGAAAACATTTAACCATTTTGAGAAAAGATAAAAATATAATCATTTAATTTATTAATTTTTGAGAAAAGTATGGAAATGAAAAAAGTGAAAGATATTTAACATAAACTAATATAATACATATTTATAAATAAATTATATACTTAATAATTTTCATTTAAAATACAAATAAAATTTAAAAATTGATTGGAATGTATATAAGAATATTATTTAATATTTAAAATTTGTTTATTTTAAGTTCATTTTCTTAACAAAAATAATATTTTCTTGTAAAAAATAATATTTTATTAAAAATATAATTTAAATATTAATAATAATTTTTTCAAGATAAAATTCTACTTATATATCTTGCTTAAAAAAGTATGTCTTTATTATATTCAAAATAATACATTAAATGGAAATTGAAATGTTTTAAAAAAACACACACATATGTAGATATTTTAATCCCACTAAATCTTAATAATTTACCTTCTATTTTCTAAAACTTCAGACTTTTATTCAGTCTTAAACTTCAACATTTGATCAGCTTTTTCTCTACGAGCATCAACCAATTAGCTAATTTTACTTGTTAATTTATTAACATCAGTTACAAATTACAAGACCTGTTAATAATTTACAATTAATGTTAGTAAATCACAATACCTGTTAGTAATATAATTTACAACTGATGTTAATAAATTAACAAGTAAAGTTAATAATTTAACAATTGATATTACTTATTGTCTATGATTAAACAACTGATGTTAAATTTTATATAATTATTAACCAATTGATGTAATTACTGAGTCGGATCAAATTTAGATTTGAGTTGTCAATAGATGGAAGCAAGACTCAAAAGGAAGCGACTTTAATCAAGGTTTGAAGGATACCTCACCATATTGATAGCAATTGCTGTGGCAGCTGCAGAACTCAGCCCTACTGGGACATAACCTGTAGCTCACGACTGGCAAGGGAAGACACCAAAAACTTCCTACCTCCAACATCGTAGAGTTTCTGCGAAGGTTAAATAATAATAATAATAATAATAATAATAATGTTCGCCCTCTCATTCATAGCTCAAGTTTTTTTACTGGGTGTGATTAGTATATCTTTAATATTTTTGATTTTTTTTTTCTTCGTGTTTATCATTGGTCAAATGCTACTATATCTATAAGTAACATTACAACTTTTAGAAGAACATTGTGCCAATAAAAAATCAAAGATACATTGCACCAAGCGAAAAATTTATCATCTAATCCTTGAATTCATGAGTCAATAATATTGGGTGTAAGATGATTATTAACCAAAAAATAATGTGTAATTCAAAATATACTTGAGATCATTAGAAGTTAGACATAACAGATATCTATTTCAACTTATTTAGTTCTCTGTTTTATTAAACAATCAAGCTTGAAATACATAAAATTAATTAAAAAATATCACACAAAATTTTATTTAAATTACTTAAAACTTTTTAATTGAATAGATTATAAATGACATAATATATTTGATCTACCTAAATATTTTTCGTATGTTTGATGCTTAATTTAAAAACTTTTATTGCATTAATTTGGCTCAAAAAATTAGCTAGAATTTAAAGCCCAACGAGGGTCAAGCCCATTACCAACATGGCCCAATAGCAAACTCAATCTTCCACGGCTCAACCTCAACGTCTCTCTATAAAAGCGGAGTTTCCCACACGCGATAGATCCTTTCTGAGTTCTGAATTCTGATAGCCGCGGCGTGTGTTAGGGTTTTACAGCGATGTGAAATTAACAGAGATGGTGAGGGCTGAGGCATATAGGGGAGAGCAGCAATGGATTGTGGCTCTGAAATACCTGTAGGTTTTCTACGGGGTGCCCTGCAATTTCAGCCCTTGATATCGATCACAGATGGCATCATAGTACGGTTTTGTGCTTTGTGGATCGCAATTAGGGTTGAGTCTCTCTCACTCTCATGCTTCCCACTTCCTCTTTTCACAATACCGCCTCCAAACGCCATTACATTACGATTTCCTCCTCTCTTTTATCTCAGATGACCACACATCGCTGTCTTCTGCTCCTTTTCTTTTCCTTCAGTTTTTAACCTATTGTCTTGTGGTTTCCTTTTTTTGGACTTGTCTGAGAAAGTAGGTTTATCAGTTTGTTATGATGAATATCACTGATGATGGTTTCAGGGAGATGGAATTGTAATTACAAATGTAATTTTTTTTTAATATTATAAAGATCGAATTGTAATTTTGTACTTATACAAACAGTAATAATTTGGATCTTTTGAAAAGATTTCAATGTCTTTTAATACAATTGCTATTTTATGTTTTATTAAAAAAAAAAAAAACTGTCCGCATTCTATCACCCTTCTGGGATCTCAGAACTGAGAAATGACAATACAGTTTAACCCGGCAATACAGGTGTACATGCATGCATAGGCATGCCTTGAAAATGAAAAACCTTCATCCAGCTTTATATCTAGGGTGCTAACCAGGATTGAAACTATGTAGTTGTAGCAAAGTTGATTCTTGAATGTATTCATGCTTATGATTCAATTTCACTGGTTTTACTGTTTTACAAGGGAAGGACAACAATGGGAAAGCACTCAGACCAACACTAGTACGATGCTACAGGACAGCATTATGCCTAATTTATTTCAAATGTTAGAGTCCTTAGGATATAAAGACAGCTCCTTTTTCAGGTGCTTCATAACTTGAAACTAAATCTCAAAATCTTGGTGAAACGATCTCCTTTTCCTAGTTATCAAACAAATCCTTCTGTAAAACCCAGTTTTCAATCATCGCTTGAGAGTTCACAGATTGATCAGCAGGCAAATAATGACCAGCTCCCAAAACTACAACGTTTGTGAGGCCCTGCCATTTCTGCACATACCCTGCAAGCTCGCCATTCACTTTCCATATCTTCCTATCTGCATTCATATACTTTTCAATTCCTTCCCATTTCATTGTCTTCACCCATGCTTCTACTTGAACCGCACCATCTCTCAGATCATGCTGTCCTTGGTACAGAAGCACTCTGGTTTTCTTCACCAAGTATTCCACCATGTCCTTCACACTCTTCATCACATCCTCATGCAATGCCCGCTTTTGCAGTATCACTACAGCCTTCAAAAACCATAGACTCACTCACCCCCAGTGCCTTCTTCACCTTGCTGGATTTCAAGAACTCGGTGACCAAATCACTCTCATAAGGAGCTTTTTTGGTGAAGTCGAACGAAGCAGCCAACCCTGTCATGTTCTGCAACAATCTGAAAACAGTGTTTCTTGCATCTCTTGCTGCACTCCAGTTCCCCAGTTTGATCAATCTGACGGCTTCAAATTGAGGCTTCTCCAATTCACTCTTCTGCCTCTCGTTGATCAACCCTAGGAAGTAAGCATGCACAGCGTGAGTGGCAACTTGTGTCACTGGATCAGTCAGCCCATCCCCAATCGCCATACCTGCCAAATTCATCCGCTGGGATGCATTCAAACGAGAATTCCTTTGTAAAATGTAATGCCCAATTGCAGGAACATACTTCCCAGCATAGCTTTCGCCGGTTATATAGATTGGGCGATCCTTGAAAGCAGGGTTCAGTTGAATGAACTTGGTTATAGCAGCAAAGAGGTGTTTGGCTACAGATGTTTGGTCTCTGGGAATTTCCTCAGGATTTGAGGCGATGCTGAATCCTGTTCCAATTGGGTTATCAAGGAAAAGAAGGCCAAAAATTCTGTTCCAAGAACCAGGATTGGGGATTAGGTTCAATGATTTGGTGACTCGCCATGGTCCGAGCTCGAAGAAGTTGCCGATCATGGAGGAGCAGCCAGGGCCGCCTTGGAGCCAGACGAGAAGTGGGGTTTGAGATAGAGATGAAGTGAGGTTCTGGGCTTCATAGAAAGCGTAGAAAATGGCGGACTTGGAAGTGGAGCTAACAGGGAGGTAGCCAGATTTTGTTGGCAAGGCTTTTTCTGGGAAGGAAGGGGTTGGATTTAAAGAAGAGACAGAATCATTGAAGATGAAGAAGATGACGAGAAGGAGGAATGTGAGAGAGCTTGATCTCGCTCTTGACTCCATTTCTTATGGTAAAATATATATATATATATATAGTCAATGACGTGTCCCATGCGAACGAAGGAGGGTCAAAAAAAGTTGCTGCTTCTTGTCTTCTATTTAATGTTTGTTTGAGAAATTTTTAAATTACAGTAGGAGCCCACCTCTTCCTTTCGTGATAAAAGTAAAAGGTACAAATGTTACAAAAAAATAAAAGTAAAAGGTACAATCATGAGAGACTAGAGGATCGATCTATGTTTTTTTTTTTTTGACCAATTATCGATCTATGGTTATCACACTCACGCAATGACGGCAACAAACTTTATTCCGTTAGTTGGGTTGGACTCTGTGCGAATTGCACGATGATGTTTTATCAGTAACTAAATTTTTAAAATTATTCTTTAACTAAAAGATATCTTTCAAAAATTTTATTTGGTATTTTCTTTAATTTTTTTCTATTTTTTTTATAAGAATTAGAATTTTCTATTTTCATTTTTTCCATCGACCTTTGAATGGACAATCGCACATATTCACACTCCCAGAAAAACTTGGAAAAAAAGATAGCCCGCTATTAATGATACAAACAATCCAAATATTTTTCCCAAAAAAAAAACTCCCTAATACAAGAAAGGGAGAATTTTAGTTAAGGAATATATGAAAGAAACTTAATTATTAGTAGGCTCTAAAAAATTTTAACTGTAAAAAAATCAAAATACCTTTCAGTTATTATCTAATATGAGTTGCAAATTATGTCAATTGATATGTTAATAATTAGATAAAAATTAATATTAGTTGTTCAATCATAAACAACAATATCAGTTGTTAAATTGTTAACTTTATTTGTTCATTTATTAATCTCATTGTTTGACAAATGGATATAATTTACAAATGATATTAATAAATTAACAAGTGAAGTAAGAAAATTAACAACTACTAATTTTATATAACAAGTGAATTGCATTTTAGTTTTTTCATTGTTAAATTATTTTGACTTTTTTCCCTGAATTGAACTAAAGTTTTAAAATTTTTCAAGACTCCCCAATAATTAAGTCTCTTTTGTAGTTTTTAACTGAAATTTTCGCTATAAGAAATATTTGGCGCTAGGAAGATAGGGAGGCTATCATAATCCCATATCATAGTCATACGGGTTTATTTATTTATTTTTTAATCGAAAATAAAATTGCATTAAAGCTATTAGAAGTGATTAGGTAGCGCCCTTAACGTATATACAAAGGGCGCAACTTTGAATTAGAATATGAGAAGGTATAGCGTGTAACCTTACCTCATGGGGATTTGTTTTCATAACCTTTTGTTGCTCAGTCATCATCATCTTCTCTTAATTCAATTCTCAATCTTAACATAGTGTCAAGGCCTAGTTGGTTTGGACTTGAAGAAGCAGCTGTTGCGTTGTTCTTTTCACCAATCAAATCTATTTGTCAAGAATCAAGAACTGGACCACAAAACAAGATCCAAGACCCATGAACACGACGCTATCTTTAATCCCAGAGCTAAGTTGGATATTCAAGAACCAAAAACTCATGAAGATTCCAAGAACCCCCCCCGGGGGCCCAAACAAGATCTGAGCTAGGCGCATAAAGAAGAAGAGTACACTGTAAATGCAAGTCTAAAGATATTTTCATGTTATTTTGCATATGGTTGGTCTAGTTGACCAAATATATGAGTAATGTTGATCTGGTTGATCAAAGTTGTATGATTAATATTTCAACAAGTTATTGTACTCTCCTTATTGTTTTTGTTTTGACAAGTTGATGACCTAAAATTAAAGAGGTGTCAACTTGAGGGAAGTGTTGGAATATATATTAGAGGTGATTAGATGTTAATCACTTGATAGTTAGTGATCTAAATGTATATATAAATGATACAATTTTAAATTAGAATATAGGGAAATATATTGTGTGTAACTTTGCCTCACTCCATGAGGGGATTTGTTTTCATCATCTTTTTGTTAAGGGATGAATTGTGATTGGAAATCCTTCAAATTAAGGATCATGTCATTGTAATATTGAGTGGTCATCATTTTCATGACTGTTTATTTTCTTCTCTCTATTCAATTATTAGTAATCTTAACAAAAGTTACTCAAAACTAACAATATAACAGACAAATAAGGTCCAACTCTCCACTATCATCTTCCAACTCATGTGTAAGTAGAGGTGCAGGATGATTAAAAAGCCAAAAACTATTAGTAATACAATGAGAATACATAGCTAAAAAATCAGCAATAGTTTTAATGATTGGAATTTGGAATTCAATAACATTCCACATCGTGAAATGGTCCTGGTTTGGTCCACATGTTATCGTGCTCTGTGGGTTGCCATTGGGAAGAGAGATCATTGGCTAAAAGCTAATGCGCCTGTTTGTGACGGGGAGAAAAAGAAAAGTGAAGGCTCAAACACCATTTTTTTTTCCTTAAACTTTACTTTGAAGAGCTATGGACATCCTATATGCTCTCCTAAATTATTTTTTTAAGAAATAATTTTATTCTTCCATTAATATTATATTAATTTTACCATGATATACCTACATGTATTATGCATGGGCCCTAGACCGCTTGACCTGATTCATTATTATAGGTTTAGAGGTTTAATTTGCCCCTGAACTTTTTTCTATAGCACTGAGTACTCGATAGTTTTGTTAAAATAAAATTTTAAAAATATTTATTTTAATAAAATCTTGTTAAAATATTAATTATTTTAATATTTAATAATTTAAATACTATAATTTATAAATATTCATCTAAAATTTATAAATTATTTTTTAAATATTAGCAACACAATCAATTTTTTAGAAATTTATAGATGACTTTTAAATTGTATGTGAATATTTATAAATAACAACAACAACATATAAATTATAGTGACTTTATAAGAAAATTAATGTTGAATAAATTCCTTAAATTTTCTAGGTCATTATTTTTAATTTTCTTGATCAACTAATAGTTAAATTGACATACATTTAATGGATGGGTGATATTTCTCCATTTTTAATACATGAAGGAAGAGAATATTAGAACTTAAGTGCCACTTGCTCTACTTTTCAACTAGGCTAAAAATATAATAATTATAATATATTTAGCATAATTTAGACTCATAAGAAGGAATGACACTTGAGAAATCATTTTATTCAAATAAAGTCCCAACCAAATTTTAACATGCAAAGTAAGTACGGTAAGTTCTTAATTAGTATTTTTATATAAAGCAATATGTTTCCAATTTTAAGGTTAGAAAAAGGAGTTGCAAATTTAACAAAATGATATTTATTTTAATATTTTAACAAGACTTCAATGTGTAACATCCCAATTTAAATTTTAATAGTTAATTTAGGTTAATAGAAAATTAAAAAAAATTTAGGGGTAAGCAAATTAGTAGGAGATGATTACTAAATCTAATTTAGGATATAATTTTAAATTAAAATTTTAAAAAAATTAATTAAAAAAATAATAATAAAAAAATAATAATAAAATATTATTAAATTATTATTATAATAAGAAAAGGGAAAAGGTATTAAAAAAAAGGGGGGAAGAAGAAGAACAAAATTTGCTTTTGGCCGTCGCACAACAATCATTCGTATAAAATATTAAAAAAATAAAAAGAAGAAGAAGAGAGAAGAAAGAAGAAATAATAAAAAAAATGTGGGACTCACTAAATTTTTATAAAAACCCACCTCCTTCCTTCTTTCTTCACTTCTTCGTTTCTTCATTCTTCCCTGTGCGCGAGCTGAGGCAGAGAGAGCGTCTAGTTTCGCTGGTGCTAGGTTTTAAGGTAAGAGCTTTTAATAGGATATTTAGGGTGTGATTTTAAACTTTTCAAAACTAAGTAAGTGTTCTAAAATTTTTTCTTAGTCATCCTTCTTCTTTGGTTTCTGAGTTTGTAATGGTAGAAAATTTAAGATCTGGAAGAGGGATGAATTTATGTTGAATAAATATGATTTTTGAGGTTGTCAGTAGTATAATAAATGTTCTAGAGTATAAATTTATTGATGATATTTGAATTTGTGGCTTATGGATCAAATTCTAAACTAGATCTGAAAATATATGTTAATTTATTAAGGTTTAGATGATTATTTGAGATGAGAAATGAATTATTATGGCTATAGGATTATGATTCTAAGCTAGAGACTCAATTTTAAATTTTTGAGTATTTTAGGTACGAATTTATGAAATAAAAAAAAATTTTGATAATAGAAATTAGTTTAGAAGCTGATTTTTAGATTATTAATGTTTATTGATAATTAAAAGAGGAGTTAAAAATTTTACTTAATAGTGTTGACTCTAGATTTGTATTAAGATTGAGATTAAAAATTATGTTATATTTTTAATTTTATTATTAGAATTATTTTATTAGTTTCAAAAATTGAAACTAATATTTATAAATAATATGTTATTTGTAGATTGTATTATTTGTGAAGATTGTGGTGAGAGAGAAATTGTAAGGAATAATTTATTAAAAAAGTCACGAGGTAACCATGCTTTTAATTTGTGATTAGTGTTACTTCATGTTAATTGGGTGATTATTGAGAAAATTATGAATTTTGTAATATTGTATAATTGTGCAATATTATTATGAATTTGTTTAATTATTGTGAGAGGTGTTGGGAGACTTGCTATTGTTATTGTATTTATGTGCCACGTGGTACGCCCCTATTGGAGCTCAATAGGTGGTTTGTAAGGGCTCGGACTAATCTACCTTTGGCCAGGTAATTTAGCACTGAGTGAGGGCTACGGCTCGAGGTTAATGAAGGGATATAAGGATGATTATTTGTGTGTATTGTAATATTTCTTATATTTGTTGGAATTATATTATTTTTAAATTCTCACTTAGTAAGCACACACTTAACTGTTTGTACACACTATCATAAATTGGTATTGGTTATTGGGACTTTTGAGTCTTATTATGTGGTTAACAATTTTCAGGAGAAGAGCCACGAGTGACACGTGGAGGAGTCCCAGAGGCTTAGTGGTTTAGATCCACTGTCTCTTTTTGGTATTTGATTTATGATTTATAATGTGTTATATTGCCAATATTAGGGCTTTTCGTTTATTGTCAATTATATGAATATATAA